TCTCTGTTTATCATGATATGATCTATTTGCTTAATTGTGAGGATTTTTGTTTTCTTCATATTGAGTTGCCATTAGTAAGACACAAATTGAAACAATGTAATATTATGTTACTCCAGCACTAAGAGCAAACTTCAAAACTTAGAAAATAAAAAATGCTCCTAAGGGTATGGAGAGCAAGAAAGTCCCTTACACTGCAAGAGGAACTGTAAAGTGGTGCAACCACTGTGGAAAATGGTGGAAACCTCTTTAAAAGTTAGACAGAGACACACTCTGTGTTGAAGTAAATCTCACTATTAGATCACCTACAGAATAAAAGAGTCATGATGTGAAGAAATATACTCACACCCATGTTCATGACAGCACTACTCACAATGACAAAATGGTGGAAATAACTCAAGTGCCTATCAGAGGAATATATAAGCGATAGTGCATTCACACACTATAATACTATGCAATGTCAAAGAATTATTAGAGCGCAGACAATACCTTGGGTAAAATGAAAGACAACATACAATAACTATGATGTCATCACAGTATGAATAGTGACAAATGAAGTCATTTAAAGTGCATACATGTAAAAGACAATAGAGGCAGATACTGTCAGATGCAAAAGTCTTCAATAATTGTAATGGAAAATGATATCTATGAGTAGATACAAAGGTAGGTACACAAGCTGAATTGATGGAGGAAAGCAAATGGGCATACACCAAAGGAAATAATTAATTCACAGGAGTCGTGGATCATGTGAAACACTGCATTCATTACCTGGAGAGCAGAAGAATTAGATGGTGCCCAGCTACCACAAGTGATCACTCTGATCAGCAGCAAAATAAAAGGTACTGAACAGAGAGGAAGAAAAAAATGTCGAACAAAATTGAAAATTGTAAAAAGATAAGACTTACTGGTCCTATAGAGCTGACTGACCCTCTTCAACTATGGCCCTTAGATAACGCTTCAAACCTGGACCTGAGTATCCACCTCTGGGTATCAACTTTCAGGCAAATAATACACAAGCCTGTAGAGTGAAAAACAGCACTCGGGAGGAATGCACTCCTTAGTGAACTCAACCACACGAGACCAAAAAGATGGCCTTTTCCAAAACGCAACGCTCCGAAGTTAGGAAGGGGCAGGGAAGAAGGTGGAAAGGAAACGAAGACCACAGGAAAGGAGTGGAAAATTATTATCTTATTAAGGGGACTGCAACTAATGCTGTGAAATAAAATGTGTATAAATCATTGAAAACTAATATGTTCTATAAACTTTCTTCCAAACTACAAGGGAAAAAATATAAAAACAACCTTCAGAACTCTATAGCTGTATGTGGTGTCAAGGACAAAAGGGGGAAAATCATTACATTTCAGGGCAATTGGCAATGATTACAAAGGAAGCTGTATCTGCTATTGTTAAAGATGGTCTGTTCTGAACATAGACTATTTCCTCAAAGATAAATAGCAACTTGCACTGTAACTAAATATTACTTGAGTAATTACCTGGGTGATGCAAGATGGGTGGACCTTAAAAATTAAAGCTGATGTTAGGGGTCAAATTACATAGTCAAAACTAAGTCAGACTAGACTTTCAAGTATTCCATTTTAAAATTAGGTAGAGAGGTCATAAGTTTTTGTTGGTGCCCACATTGCAGCTGGATTGTGTTTTAAGGAACAAGTAATACAAGAAACTTTATAAGATGGGATGGTTCAAGTATTCAAGTCTACACACCCAACATATGCAGACATACTTAGTATATGTACAAATGTGCTCGACACAATGGATGTATGTATGGATTGTGACAAGAGTTCTACGAACACCCAATAAAGTGATTTAAAAAAAAGAGGAAAAATAAATAAAATATATTCCAGAGGGACATTAGGTCAGAAAATCAAATCTTTTCAGCTATTTGATTATAAGAATGCAGTCATCTAGATAATGGACATCCAAAAGTGTCAGCTCCTAATGTCTAGAACATGTCAGTGTCCCCATAAATGGTACAGTTTCACAGATGTGCTAAATATAGGATTTGAGATGCAATTATTCTCGATAGTTTGGTGGATCTGAATGCTATCATGAGGGTCTTTCTAAGTCTTTTTCAGCAGAGGAAAGTGAGACAGACAAGGGCAAGCCTATATGTGCACAGGGGCAGAGACTGGGGTCACAAGCAAGAAAAAAAATTATGAAAAACCTGAAGGAGGCAAAAAAAATTCCTTTTATAACCCTTCTGAATAGTGCATATATTTCATATGCTTGGCTGCTAACTGAAGTATGGTCAATCCAACTCTTTCCAGAGACCCCCCTGGCATTCATGGAGGTGCCAAGGCTTGAGATCGATTGACAAGGTTTGGAGGAGCTTCTAAAGGGAGTGTACAAATCATATTGGCAATACCTGGATTTCAGATCAACAAAACTGATTTAGGCCTTCTGGCTTTGAGACCAGTGTGAATACATCTCTGTTGTTTTAAACAATGTTTTAAAATTCCTTCAACAAGTTTAAGGAATCACCACTGAGCTTGTGGAAATTAGTTCTAGCAGCCACAAGAAATGTGTACACTCAGAAAAGCCTATCAATTTCTCTACATGGCCTGATCACGGGATAAATTTCCTGAGTCACCAATTTTTCTTATATCAGTTGATATTGGATGGTTGATACTAATGGCTTATTTGGGCACTGAGCTCTGGCAATAAGAAAAAATATATGTATGCTGTAAACAACAGTGAGTTGGCTCTTCCTTCAAACTCACAAATCATGAACCCTGAAATAGGCTTCCAAGCGACCTAATGAGTTTTAAAAGAGGAAATTGAGGTCCAGACAGGTAAATGAAATATGCCGGAAACCACACAGTTGGAGCCACGACATAAGAGAGGTCTGTTGACAGCCCCCCTCTCCCCAGTACAACACTCTTTTCCACATTGCATCATGCTAATGTTCTCTGTGTGGGTACGTTCCCATGTACAACTTCTTGTTAATGACATTAAACCATAACACCAGGATCAGGAGCAAGAATGGAGAGGGGCAAAACAGAGGCAGTGCAAGTGCTTGGGAGACTTCGGTTGGAAAACAAATAAATCGACATGTCTGTGGAGTGGCGTGGATAGCTAGTCTGCAGCGGGACTGGGATGTTGGAAAAAAATGAGACAAAGAGCTGTCCCCGTATAACTAAATTTGAGAACAGGAATAAGCTGAATTTCCCTATCTGGACACTCTCAGACTAGACAAGACTTACAAATTAATATGAGTACGTATGTCTGGGACCTAATGGAAATTAGGTCATCACAAAAAAGAATCAGGTGGCTAGCCTCAAATCAGAATCTTACTATGGGTTCACAACAAAGCGCCAGGAATCGAATGCTGTACATTCACGGAATGCCACGTGGAAACATCGGAGTTATGTGCCGAGGAAACCTTCAAAGCAAAGTTATGGAAAGGGGAACCGTAGTGAAGGGCTGAAGGTGTTTGATGTCAAGTACAATCCTGACCTTGAGTCTTCTTGTACAGAGTTGACTCTCTCCTTTGCTCTGTTCCTCACTCCTTCCTTCCCTCCCTCTTCCTTCCTCCTCTCCTATTCTCTTTATTTAGGATGCCCTTACTTTCACTCTGCAGTTTTAAGTCTGTCTACCTTTCATTTCCAAGAATCAAGCTTCACAGGCAAGGAGCAAAAGGAGTGCTCTTATAAGGAAGATATGAAGACCATTCTGAGATGATAATTATCAGAACACATCAGTTGCTTCATATAGCTGTGGGATAAAACTGAGATAGGTAGGGGCAGTTCTTTATTTCTGAGAATTGGGGCCCACAGGTAGGGATTTGAAAAACGTGCTTTTATGGATAATATAAGAAAACCTTTCTGAGATAAAAATTATCAGGATGCATCAGGTGCTTTGGTAGCTCAGGGATGAAACTGAGAGGGAATTGTAAGAAACTAGACGGTGGGCTCATTCCCTTGAACCTCTTTTCTTAATGTCTTAATGATGCTCTTTGAAGCCTTTGTACATGCCCTATGGTGACAAAGGGGTTGTTACGAGTGCATCGTGCCATGATGTGCCAGCCGGAGTTGTTTCTGTCTCTGGGGATGCGCTGATGGATTTGTCACTGTGCAAAGGTCTAAGATTTTTGGCGCTGAAGACAAGTGAAGAAATTTCTAGCCAATGAATAAACTAAGTATATTCCTCTGAATAAACACCATGCTAAGTGGGGTGGGGGTGGGTGGGAATCGACCTAGGGTGCTGTGACAATGCTCAAGTGTCAGACCTCGAGAAGATGGCAAATATTTTAGGACGGAGGGTAGCAACCTTGAGAATGTTCATTTTCTATGAATTTCTTGGATTAGCATAATTTAAAAAATGTGCTTATATGCAGCATGCTTCAGATATATTTATGTACAATTAGGCAACTCCTAGATGATCTGCTCTAAACTCTGTGTCTTTGGGGGACACAGCATTTTATAAGTTGCATTTTTGCATATCCAGTCCTTTCTGACACCATCTATTATTACAGCACAGTATATATATAATTGTGTCATCATGATAGGTTGTTATTTTTTTCAAATGAAAAACAAGGTAAGGATATGTGTTCGATTAATTTACAACTTCAAATGCAAATGACATTTAGAACTTTTTTCCTGATTGAAATCATTGCGATGATCAAGGACAGGCCACTTTTCCAGAGTCTTACTCCTACTAGTTTTAAATGGGAATAAGTCAAGATAAGAACACACAGTAATATCAGCACACATCTACAGTCTTGTTAGTCCCTGTGAATGGATACTTTACTTGGGAAGCTTAATTAATTACTCTTTGGGTGGGGAAGATCATTCTTTAAAACACTTTCTTTAAAAACGACTTGTATCATGGACAACAATCATAACAGAGATAAAAAAGAAAGAAGAGATGAAGTTCAAGTCAGAAGGCACATTGTGATAGACTCAGTGTTCATCTCCTCCAAATGCCAGACAGTCTTCCTTTCCAATTTAAAAATGGGAAATATATGACAAACGTTAAGCCCTTACCAACTTCCCACTTCAGAAGGCTGTTGTCGTCCCTCTCCATTTTTCCAATGACATACCAGATACACGCCATCCAGTGCGCAAGGAGCGCGAACATGGACATGAGCAGAGTCAGGACGATGGTGCTGTGCTGGGAATAGCGGTCCAGCTTCTGCAGGAGACGCAACAGTCGCAGCAGCCGCACAGTCTTCAGGAGATGCACAAGTGACACCTGTGGCGGGAACGAAGGGTAGCACGACTTGGCCCAAGGGTTAAATTCACACCGATCCTTCCTCTTCACTTACAGCCATGCTGGAAAATTCTTGAACTTAAGTATAATCCTGACTCTAAACCTATGATTATCTCTATAATGTATATGTATATGCCAAATTGTATTGAGAGATAATAAGGATAAAGGATGGTACGGAACACAAACTAAGCCCACTGCTGGTGAGTTCAATCTGAGTCATAGAGACCCTGTACAGAGTTTCAGAAATGGCAAATCTTTCTGAGTGAAAACAGCCTCATATTTCTCCCATGGAGCTTTTGATGGTTTCTGCTGATGCTCTAACAGTTAGCAGTTCAATGCCTAAGGCACAGTGCCAGCAGGGCTCCTGAAAGGCAGGTGAGATGGTTTAGGTTCTTTGATAAATACTTTTCCTCTACTGTCTGATTTCATATGTTCTGATACCTACTGGAAAAATATAGTATCAGCGCTAAACAAAAAGGTTCTTTCACTTTCTCTCAAGCCTACCTTCCCACTCCCATGCCAGCAAGTTGTCTTCATAAGAATGAATAGAGCTTAAAGTAAAAGCCTGGAAAATGCTACATATATTAGCTGTTGCTTTTTTAGCATTAAATTCATGAAACTTGAATGAATTCTTTTCACAAGTATAGACTATATTATCCTCCTTCTAACATTTTCAATGGACAGAGAGGAAAAATGCCCGAAGCAAGTATATTTTCATCTCTCCAACCAATGTGCTCAGGGGAAAAAGAAGAAAAAGAAAGACGTTTAGAAAACCTTTACAGGTCTTTTGGTGCATTTACTGCCTGCATTAAGCAACAGACATATAGCCAGGAGAATGCATTTGTTAATTGAATGAGTGATTCAATTACCAAGAAACAAAATCCTCCAAACTCAGCCTAACAATAGAGATCCAATAAAGTATGTTTGACTGCAATCTTGTATATTATTCTCTATTCAAATTTAATGCAATCTTGAGAGTGACTGAGGAAAGTGGTGTGAGCTAGATATGCTCTGTTACTTCTATTTGTGACTCTGTGTTGAGTTCTTCCCCTGCATAGTCAAATTCACAGTATCATTTCTCCAGCTGGTGGAAACCAGAGAATCCACCTACCACGCTTTCGCAAGCGCACCTTTGTACCTTGGAAGAGTTACTCAGGATGGAATTTACTTGATACGCAGATAACTGATAGGTAGATTTGTGATTCATAGGTGAAATAGAATGAGGAATAAACGTTTCAAATGGAATAAGTCATCTGTGAAGGGCTGTTGAGTCCATTTTGAATCATAGCAAGCCAACGCACAACAGAACGTCTTGCGTCCTCCTCACCATCGTTCTTCTATTTGTGCCCAGTGTTGCAGCAAACGTATCACTCCATCTTGCTGAAGCTCTTCCTCAACGTGATGTCCCTCTCCAGGGACTAGTCTCTCCTAAAAACATGTGCAGTCCGTGAGACATAGACGTACCATCCTTGCTTCTAAGGAATATTCTGGCTCTACTTCTTCCAAGACAGATTTCTTTTGTTGTTCTTTTGCCAGCCTATGGTACATTCAATATGCTTTGTCAGCACAATCATTCAAATGTATCAATTCTTCTTCAGTCTTCCTTGTTCAATGTCCAACTTTGGCCTGCAAGTGAGGCGGTTGAGAATACTGTGGCTTGGGTCAGGTCCACTTTAGTTTAAGAAACATCTTTTCACTACTTTAAAAGAGGTCTTGGGCAGCAGATTTGCCCAATGCAATGCGCCTTTATTCACTTGACCGCTGCTTCCACAAACATGGATTATGGATCCTTGATGCTCCGATCTTTTCTCCGTTTCTCATGCTGTTACATGTTGGCCCAGTGGGGAAGATTTTGGGTTTCTGTATATATATATTGATTTGTAATCCATTAAAAAAGTTGTAATGCTTTATCTTTATCAGCACGTGCTTCAAATCTTCCTCATTTTCGGCAAACAAGATGAGTCATCTGCATATCATAGGTTGTTAATATCTTCTTAAAATCCTGATGCCACATTTTTCTTCATATAAGCCAGCTTCTCTGATGATTTGTGCAGCATACAGATTGAGTAAATATGGTGAGAGGATAAACCCTGATACACACTTTTTTTGAGTTAAATCTTTTTCTGTCAATACAACTGCCTCTTGATCCATTTATAGGTTCTCCATGAGCACAATAAAATCTTCTTGAGTTCCCAATCTTTTCAAGGCTATCCATAGTTTGTTATGGTCCACACAGCTGAATATCTTTGCATAGTTAATAAAATACAAGTAAACTTTTTCTGGCATTTTCTGCCTTCAGCCACAATTTATCTAACATCAGCAAGGATACCCGTTGCTTCATATCCTCTTTTGAATCCAGCCTGAATTTCTGGCAGTTCCCTGCCAAGGTAGTGCTGCAACTGTTGTTGAATGATCTTCAGCAAAACTTTACTTATATGTCATATTAATGATAATATTCTATAGTCTGAGCATTCTTTTCAGTCACATTTCTTTGGAATGGGTACAAATACAGATCTCTTACAATCAGTTGGCCAAGTAGTTGTCTTCCATATTTCTTAGCATAAATGAGTAAGTGCTTCCAATGCTTCATCACTTGTGCTGAAACATTCAGTTCATGTCCCATCAATTTCTGGAACCCTGTTCTTGGCTCCAGTATAACTTGGACTTCTTTCAGTATGATTGGTTCTTGATTATAGACTACTCCTTAGTATAGTATGTTCTTAGTATTTCTCAACAGGATTGAATGTCAACTATTTCTTTTTGGTTACAGTGACTCTGTATTCTTTTCATCATGTTGATGCTTTGTGCATCATCAGTATTTAGCCCATAGAATATATCAATATTGCAACTCAAGGCTTGGATTTTTTCTTGAGTTCTTTCTGCGTAAACATGCTGTAAGTTTCTTCCTCTGATTTTTAAACTCTATTCTAATATTTAATTCTAATATTTTACTTTGTCTTCTCAGGCTACCCTTTGGTAATTTCTGTTCAGCTCTTTGACTTCATCATTTCTTCCATTTGTCTTAGCTACTCTATGATTAAAAGCAAGTTTCCAAGTCTCATCTGACATCCACTTTGCTTTTTACTTTTCTTCTTGTCTTTTTAATGACCTTCTGCTTTTTTCACGTATGGTGTTCTTGATGTAATCCCACAATTTATCAGGTCTTCTGTCATTAGTAGTGTTCAATGTGTCAAATTTGTCCTTGGATATTCTCAAAATTCCCTTGGGTTATACTCTAGATCACATTTTGGCTCTCGTGGCTTATTTTGATTTTCTTTAGTTCCAAGGTCTTATTTTGGCACTTTCAGACTTGTTTTGATATTCTTTAGTATCATCCTGAACTTATATATAAGCAATTGATTGTCTATTACACAGTGGCTCCTTGTTGAAAAAAAGGTATTTCCAATGAAAAAGTTTTTGGTCTTCTGGAATTTTATATGTGATCTACCGCTTCATTTTTATCACATAGGGAGTATTTTTCCAACTACGTTCCTTCCTCTTCATTCCAATCACCCAATAATTACCAATGCATCTCAAGAGCATCTTTGATCAATTTCAGCCTGTAGATGTTGGCAGAACTCTTCAATGTCTTCATCACTAACTTTAGTAATGGGTGCGTAAATTTGAATAATAGTTGTTGTGATGGGTAGGTTTATTGTGCCAACCTGGCCAATGAACACATGTAAGATTATTTGAAGGGTGGAGAGATAAATGGCTCTGTGAGCCTCGCCTTTCTTGTTCTCTTGCTCTTTGATGATTGGACCAGTGTGTGGCTGCCTTAGCTTGTTCTCTGCCTCAATTTTCAAGCTACGCTAACTGTGGGACACCTAACTCGTGCACTGTGTCCCTGCAGTTTGAGGTTCCTTCAAGACCTGCTTCGCCATGCTACTAGAGTATACATCGCTTGAGCTGGGGCCTGTCAGACCCTGTCCCCTGACTGACTGTTGGTGATCTGCCTTGCTGTTTGCTGCCTGTGGCTGGATAGCCTGAATTGCTCTACAGAGGACTCAGCAGTCTACTTCCTTGACTTGCACCCGGCAGCCTTCAAGACTTGAAGGACTGCCAGTGTTTTAGCTGTCTCACGGAAGTGAGTTGCACTGAGCCATTTGTGCTACTCTATAATTAGCTGTTTATTTCTTATGTTTTTCTATCTATATAAACATATGTAAAATCTTAAGTGTTTATTTAGAGAACCCTGTCTAATATAGTTGTATGGACTGGGTTTCCTTGTATGTGGATAGAGATTATCCTATCACACAGCACTGTATTTCAAGATAGGGTGTAAATTTTCTTTTTTGACAATTAATGTAATGCCATTCTCTTGAAGCTGTCATTCCCAGCTTGGTAAACCATATTCATAATGGCCAAAACCAGTTTATTTCAGGTCACTAACATCTAGGATATTGATCTCTATGTGTTTCATTTCATTTTTTATTACTTCAAATTTCCCTAGATTCACACTTCCTACATTTCAAGTTCCAATTATAACAGAAGTCCAAAGCTGTTTCTTCTCCCTTGAGTCATGCCCCATGAGCAAATGAAAGTCTCACATGCTTCACGCTTAAAATCTTTACTCCATCCATGTGTTGAAGGTTGACTTTACTTTGAGAGAGCAGCTCTTCCTTGGTCATATTTTTACTGCTTTATGACTTCAGTGGCTCATCTTCTGGCACTAGATTTGACGATTTTGCACTGGTATTTATGAGTTTGTCAAAGTGTCAAATGGTGGAAAAGTCATGTAGACACATAATTTTGATGCAGTCAATCTCCCACTTTCTCCAATCAGAGAAGAGACATTTGGAAGGAGGATGTGGGACTGCCCATATGTAAAAAGTTATCTGCAAGGATCAGTGACATAAATTAGGTGCCAAGGATGAGATAGCTCTGGGTCTCTTGCTCCCATTAGAATCAGCTCTTATGTAAATGTGGCATTTTAATAAGTGACGAGAAGCATATTTAATTTAGATGGAAATGTATACACACATTCTAAAAAAGAGAGGATTTTCTTCCCTCTTAGGTTGTTACTTTAAATTTACCACTGATGAGAGCTATAAGCTATTTGTAGATAGGTGCAAGACAGTGATGCATTCATCAAAACCTTCATCACATAGTTCTATTTCCTGGTACCAACTAGACATGACCACCTTCTTAAGTGAGAGAAAAAGAGAGGGGGACAGAGAAGGCATGTACTGAGGTTTTGTTCTAGGTATCAGACACTTGTTGGTGTTAGGTGCCATCAGCCAGGTTCTGACTTATAGCAACCTCAGATCAATGGAACAAAACAATCACGCCCTCACGATCTTTGTCACATTTGAGCCCATTGTGGCCATCACTGTTTCAATCTAGCGCCTTGAAGGTCTTCCTCTTTCTCACTGACCTACTGATTTCCGATAATGAGCAAGGCATTTTATAGGAACATCACTGTTTTCGTATGTTCAGGAGCCCTGCTGGCATGTTTATGTCTGCTGCAGTCCTATTTTGAAATTAAGAGACTTCCCCAAGGTTGTGCAGATGGTAAGGGATAAAACAGATTCACGATTCACACGTTTTCTTTTCACTGTATCACACTTTCTATGTCTGATTTATTATTTCATATTTCACCATGTCTTTATGGTAGGCATTTAATTTTTAAATGTATATGCTGTAGCAATTGTGAGCAGAGACCAAGCCTAATAGTACAATGGTTTGGGGTAGTTCAGTTTTATTGCATTTTTTAATGTCATTAACTGGTCATATTTTGAGATTAATATTAGCACTCTTCTTTCATTCTTCCTTCTCTCTCTGCTTTCTTTTCTGTGCAAACTAACAATAGCAACACTGATAAGTTATTCTTCATAAATTATTTATTCCTGGAAAGTAAGTGTGATACTTCAGAAACTTCTATTTATAGAGAATATCATCCTGGTTGATTTATGGCTTGTGAACCATGTAGTGGGGCATGACGAATGCATTTCTTGGAAGAAGCAGGTTACATGCTTCTGGTTTTATATGCATTTGTTGAAAAATCTCCATTGGTATCTGTTAATTCCTAAAGACTTGTTCTTTGCGAATACCTTCACACTTTGGATTTCTTCCTCTTGTTCCACTGCTCTTGATGATATGCCACCTCCTGAGACAGTTGAATGTTGACTAATTCATTTTGGCGCAGTAAACTCTGTATTTCTTCCATCTCTATTTGATGCTTCTAAAGAAGGTCAGCAAAAAAGAAGACCCTTGATGAGATGGATTGGAATAATGTCTGCAATAGGGGATGAAGCATGACCCCAATTGTGAGGATGGTGTAGAGTCAGAAAGTATTTCACTCTATTATGTTTAGGGTTAGTATGAGTTGGAGCTGATTCAATGGCACCTAATTAGAACAAGAAATTTTTGCCCACAGAATTCTGCACTATTGCAACTTAATGCACTTTTCTTCAATGCTTTCAGCTTAAGAAACATCAAATGTGGTATTCCCCATTGGGCTTCTAACTCCTTATCTTTGCATATTTCTTCATGATATTTTACTTTGCCTTCCAGAGCCAACCATCAAAGTGTTCTTTTGCTCCTGTAGCATCAGTTCTTCCTTTTGCTTTATCTAGACAACATGCAAAGCATGTAGCAGAGTCTCTTCTGAAGTTGGTCTTTCTTTCCTATCTTTTCAACGAATTGCTTTTCTGTTTTTGTTTGCTTTTTACATGCATGATGTCCTTGCTGTCATCCCATAACTCTTCTTTATGTCTCTTCAGTCATTATTGTTCAATTGGTCAAATCTATTCTTGAGATGGCTATAAAATTTAGGTGAAATGTATCCATTATCTTACTTTGGCTCTAGAAAACTTGTTTTAATTTTTATTCAGTTTCCACTGGAACTTTCCTGTGAACAATTGATCATCTGCTCCGTCATTTCCTCGCCTTGTTCTAATTTATGATAGTTAGCTTCTCTATCATCTTTTCCCACAGATGTTGTTCATTGACTCCTGTGTAATTCGTTTTATGAGTCCTACAAAATAGTATGTGTTTATGTTGTTGAAAATGGCATGTGTGATAGATAAGCTGTTACTCTTGTAAAATTTTTATCGTACAACCATTTCTAACATCAAGGCCATAGTTTCCAACTACCAATACTTCTTTGTCTCTAACTTTCAAATTCCAATCAGGAAAAATTATCAATGCCCCTTAGCTTTGGTCAATTTCAGACTGCAGCAGTTGGTAAAACTCTTTCTAATGTTTGTCATTAGTGCTTGGTGAATAGATTTGAATGATAGTCTTATTAACTTGCCCAGTCTTTATAAGTATGTGGATATTATCCTACAATTGACAGTGTTGTACTTCAGGAAAGATTTTGAAATGTCCCTTTCAATGATAAATATGACATAATTTCTCTTCGATTTGTCATTCCCAAATTGAAAGGGATATGATTGTTTCATTCAAAATGGTCAGTCCTAATGCATTTTAATTAATGACTTCTTATGAGACCAATTGTTATGTGCTCCATTTCAATCTTTAGGACTTGCAACTTTCTTAGAGCCCTACTTCTGACCTTCCATATTCCAAGGATGAATGGGCAGGGCAGCTGCTGCTTCTCATTTGGAGTCGTGCCCCATCAGCAAATGAAGTCATGCCCCATCAGCATTTGGAGTCGTGCTCCATCAGCAGACTTTGCCACATTCACATGACGCATGAGAGCTTTACTTTGAGGAGGCCACTCTTCTTTAGTTGCACACACACATACAGCAGCTTCAAAAAATTCTGTGGGATAGTTCCATTATCTTTTAGTTCCATCTATCCACAAACTTTTGAAGCCATCTCATGTGTACCAAATTCTCCTCTTTGGAGACCCAAAGAGAGATGGAACCACCGCCCCCCCCCCCCCCCCCCCCAAAGTATCATTAGCATTCAGAGTAAAGTCTAAAAATAATTTGAGCAGACTTTCATTAGCTACCACTTATACTTTATCAGGATAATTTTTTTTCTTGTAGTATTTTCTGATATATACAAGGGGAATTCAGAGTTTGTGGGAAATTACACTATTGTTTTACTTCCGTTTCTCCACTAAGATTTTGATGCCTTCTTATGTACTCCGTTGAGATTTCTTTTGCAGCTGGGAAAAGTCTTCTTTTAAGTAACTACACTTTCATTATTGCACATTTATCTAGTCAAATTCAATCTCAAAAAGCATGTTTAAAAGCCTGGATAAAAACTGCATGTAGCATTGATTGATATTTTATAGTAGACCCTACCAACCCTAGGCACTCAACTTTCTGTTCAAGTTATAAAGCTCTTAGAAATGTTGACACTCTCAATCTCCCAAGCCACAGAAAAGAAAAGGGAAATAATATTTATAAACAATTAATGATTGTCCAGTATATACTAAGGAATCAAAATTCTACATTCGCTTTGAAGTGAATAATGAATATATTTAAAATATTGATTATTTTGCTTATATTGAAGAATATTCCTTTGAATTCTTAACAGTGACTGCAGTTTTTACGGGGGGTTGTCAACTGATTAAGAAATTTGTTTAGTCTGAACTAATGTTGGCTAAATTTTATGAGCTAAAATTGGTTACTCTGGCAGCAAATTGCATTAATGGACCAAAAAAAAGGTAAAAGCTTTCCTATTTTGTAAAGGAGCATTTCATAATTATAAAAATATCAATAGGTATTAAAAATTGTTACTATTACATGAGAGCACACTTTGTTTTCTATTAGGAGACAGAGAAGAAGAAAAAGGAGAAAAGTTACAAATAGCAATGCAAATTCCAGAGAACTCTCAAGCTGTAGTTTCGCCGTTGCCTCATTTGGGTTGCTGTCCTGTTTAGCAGTTTTATGAGGACTTCTAAAAAGTGGCTGAATTCCTTTATTTTAATTTTGCGGTTTGTCGATCATATTAGCCTTCTTTTGGCTTTGCTGATATATAATGAAAAGTCCGGGAGCCGTGGTGGTGTAGTGGTTAAACGTTGGGATGCAATCCTCATGATTGGCAGTTTGAAACCACCAGCCATTCTTTGGGAGAAATATGGGCTGTCTACTCATAAACAGTTACCGTCTCGGAACCCCACGGGCAGGAGGGTTGGCATCTACTCGATGGCAGTGAGTACGAATAAAACGTTCAAATGATAACAATTCAACAATCAGACAGGGAAGAAAAATTTTCAAATATTCTATCAAATTATCTGCCCCAAACCTACCTAAGTAATATAAAAGGATGCTTATAGTCCTACCGATGGTTTCTTTATCAAAAAAATTATTTAACAGGTTAGTATTTACATTACATTTGGCTTTTGGCAGATTCTGGTTCTGGATATTTAGAGAAGGACAGCAAATAATGTACATTTCCCAAGGGAGTAGATCATTAGGCAGCATGGCATCCTTATGAATGAGTATCACTAACTTGGCCAGGTAAACTGCTACAAGCCTTTAAAAAGGAACATGTAGAAAAGAAAGACAGGGGTAAAACAAACCCTGAGGGTCATGTGAAAGGAAGCTCTTTACTTACCACTGTGACGTTGAAAGCATATAGGAGATCAAAAGGGAGGGCAGCAATTAAATCAATGATGAACCAAGTGGTGACATAGTGGATGCAAATGGATCTTGCTTCGAAGATAACTTGACCAGACTTGCTGACGTAGGTTGTTCGGAAATTTAAAATAATATCTGCTTATGAAAACAGAAGGTAAGAAAAGAGAAAAAGGAAAGCGCAGTGAGAGAAACAAATAAGAAAGGAGGACAGGCCATATAAAGAAGGGAGGAAGAAGGGAACAAAGAAAACAAGGTAGGGAGAAAGGATGGAGAACACGTTTTATTTATCTATTGATTTACTTAAACATTAAGTAAATGATCACCTCATACCTTATTTTAGATTATTTCACCACTTGGTAAATGTTCATTCTATACCAGACATTGTTCTAATAAATTAGCATGCATTATTCTACTTCACCCTTAAAATATCTTTTGAAGGAAGCAGTACTATTCCCATTTCAGAGCATCAGAAAATAAATCTTAGTGAGAAAAAGGAACTCATTCAAGACCAGATTGCTAGCATTAGCAGTCTTAGAATCTAACATTGTCATACATATTTGCTTTTAAATACTACTACTTAATTCCATATCTAAAAACAGGAATATCACTTTGAAGATTAATGTTTGAATGATGCCTGCCATGTTTCTTTTCAATCACCTCATATGAACGCATAAGCAAGACAACGAAAAAGGAAGAAGGAGGAAGAATCATTTGTGTAAATTATGGTGTTGATGAAGAATATGGATGGAATCATGGGTTTCCAGAAGAATGAGCAAATGTGGCTTGGGGGAAGTACAGCCATCATACTCAATAGAAGTGGAGTTGGCAAGGCTTCATCTACAAGGACCAATCGCTGCATGTGGACATTGCGCTCGTTGAGGTAGAGGGTGAGCAATAGAGAGAGCGACCTTCCACAGCATGGATCCATATAGTCGTCGCCACACAGGGCTCCAACACAGCAAAGCTAGGGAGGGTAATGCAGGCCTTGTCCACGTGTTATTCCATAATCTGTGGGTGGATGCATTATATAAAACCAGCTTATTATTATATTATTATTATAATATAAATTGTTACTATGAGCCCTGAAGTGCACTAGCCATTTATCATAATCTCAATGATTGCTAACAAGAACCTTAAGATATTGTCCCCTTTTAAAGATGAGGCAGCTGAGGTACAAAGGGGGACAAATGAATTGCTTAGGGTGACATAGATGATGGAACAGAAGCATGAGATTCAATTACTCAGCTTCCTGGAGAAGCAGCATGACTCAAATCCTTATTTCCTAAAGTCTCCTAAATTCCAGCTCGGTGATTCTGATTTTGGTAACTTACCTGAGAGAAGTTATATCATAGGTCTGAAAGCAAGCTCTGGTTGATCCAAAAAATGGTTTCTCACTGTTATGGAGTGAGTTAACTTTGAAAAATGGTACTATTGCAATTCCTAATTTGTCAGCTATAAAATATTCAGACATTTAATATGGAGGATACTAATAAGAACCAATTAGCCTAAAAACCATGAAGTTAGTGGCTATGTCACTCACTCCTGGGGGAAGTACATCATGCTTGCTTAAACAGTGATGAAGTAGCAAGGAAATAATTTTATGGTTGGGGGATCATCACAACGTGAGGAACTGTAATAAAGGGTCATGGCATGAGGAAGGTTGAGAACCACTGGTTTAACGTCATGCAAATCAGCAGCAGCAGAGAAACCGAAAATTGCTTTTGATACTCAGCCTTCTCGTGATCCCATTCGTTTAAAGTTCTACTACACATCATCTTACATACTTTGCAAATGTTGTGGGGGAAACAAATCCCTGAAGAAGGACATCATGCTTGCTAAAGTGGAGGGGCAGCAGAAAAGAGGAAGACCCTCAAGGAGATAGATTGATACAAGGAGATAGATTGATACAAGGAGATAGATTGATACAAGGAGATAGATTGAAACAGTGGCTGCAGCAACAGGCTTGAGCATAAGGAACAGTTGTGAGCATGGCCCAGGGTTTGGGCCGTGTTTCGTTCTGTTGGGTATCAGGTTGCGATGGGTAAGAAGCAGCTTGATGGCACCGCACAGCAACAGTACCACCCCTTCCACATGTATTTTTCAGGGGACAGCAACAGGTCAGTGCAGAGATGCAATCTGATTGTAGTTGTTACATCAGTTAGTTTCACCACGACCTATGTTTATAAAGTATTGTAGACTTAAATGTACAGAGATGAATTTTCCTGGATTCTGGGAAATATGAGAACTGAGATTGTGTTCAGAAGGACATCAGAGGAATTATTTAGCTTTATTGTTAAAAAGGTGATGGTGCTGTCCAAGAACTGAAATAACTTGATGTTTGTAAATATTCCCTTAAAAGTTAGGATAGAGATAGCTAGTGCAGATTTTTCTTTAAGGGTGAGGGGAACATAAAAGAAACTAAAATTAAGATGAAGAAGGAGGAGGAGGAATAAAGGAGGGAGTGGAGGTAAGAGGAAGAGGAGGATCAGGAGAAAGAGAGAGAGAGAGAGAAAGAGCGAGATCTAGATTTGACAAATGAATGACAAAAGAGTCAAGGAGCACAGAGAAGTTTAACAAACATTGGATGCCTCTGAGGCTGTCTGACTTCTAAAACACTTTTGCATCTTTGCCTAATTATATCAGTGACTTATTCTAATATCATAGTGAGACTGGGATTTCCTCCAGACAATCAATACACTCCTTAATGATAAACAGAAAAACAAACTTCATTGTCATCACATCGATTTCGACTCAATGACCCTATAAGAGTGGGTAGAATTGCCCTGTTTCCCGACACAGTAAATATTTATGGGACTATAAAACCCTTTCTTTCTCCTGTGGACTGGTTGGTGGTTTTGAACTACTGAACTTGTGGTTAGTAGCCCAACTCAGAATCCATTACACTATCAGGGCTCCTCACCTACAAGGTAGAAGTCCTGATGGCACAGTGGTTAAGTATTGGATTGCAGCCTGCAAGATGAACAATTCAAAACCACTAGCCAGCTCTGTGGGAGAAAGCGGAGGCTTTCTAATCCAGCAGTTACTGGCTGGGAAACTCAAAGGGTCAGTTCTACCCCGTTTGATAGGGTCACTATGAGTTCGCATTAGAGGGTTTGTTTATACATTTACGGACACATCGAGGCAATTCAAACTGTATTTGGGTATGTGTAGTACTTATGGAAAATTAACACACTGACACCTAAGTAAAATTTTGCTGAAGATCATTCCCCCAATGGTTGCAGTGTACATTGGCAGGGAACTTCCAGAAATTCAGGCTGCAATCAGAAGAGGATGTGGAACAAGGGATTCATTGTCAGATGGAGTTTGGCTGAAAGCAGATAATCACAGAAAGATATTTACTTCTGTATTGTTGACTATGGAAATCATTCAACTTTATGGATCATAACAAACTATAAATAGGTTTGAGAAGACTGGGAATTCCAGAAGATTTCATTGTGCTCATTTGGAACCTGTACATGGATCTAGAGACAGTTGTGCAAATGAAACAAGGGAATACTGCATGGTAGAAAATCAAGAAAGGTGTGCATAAGGGCTTAAGGTTTCACCATATTATTCGATCTGTATGCTGGGAAAATAATCAGAGAAATTGGGTGATCTGAAGAAGAGTGTGACATCAGAATTGGAGAAAGGCTATTAACCACCTTTGATATGCAGATGACACAACCTTGTATGCTGAAAATACGGAGGCCTTGGAGCACTTGCTGATGAAGATCAGAGATTTCAGCCTCCTGTCTAGAATGCAACTCAATGTAGAGAAGAGCGAACTCCTCACACCTGGATGAATAGGTAACATGAGGATAAGCAGAGAAAAATTGAAGTTTTCATTGGTTTTGTCATGCGTGCATCCACAATGAATACTCATGGAAGCATCAGCTAAGAGATTAAAGGGCACATGCACTGGGTTACACAAGGCCTCTTTAAAGTACTGAAAAGCAAGGATGTGGCTCTGATGACTTAAGTTAACCTGTCCCAAGCCATCATTTCAATGGCTTCAAACGCAGATGAAAGTTGGACATTGGATAAAGGAGACTGAAGAAAAACGGATGCTTTTGGATGATGGTGCTGGTGATGTATCTGAAAGTACTATGGCCTGCCGAAAGAACAAATGAATTTGTCTTGGAAGAAGTACCATCAGACTGCTCCTTAGAGGCAAGGATGGTTAGATTGGGTCTCACATACTTTGGACATGTTGTCAAGAGACTGGTCCCTTGAAAAGGACCTGATGCTTGATAAAGAGGGGGGCCAGTGAAAAAGAGGAAGGTCCTTGAGGATATGGGTTGACACAATGGCCACAACAATGGGCTCAAATATACAAACAATGGTGAGGACAGCAGGACCAGGTAATGCTTTGTTCTACTGCACATAGACGCACGATGAACTGGAAGGAATTTCACAGCACCTAACACGCACGTCTGTAACAAAATGCTGTGGGGTCCTGTGTCATCTTCATGCTCATTGGCATGTTTGATCGGTTATTGTGGCTACTGTGTGAATCTATCTCACTGAGAGTTCTCCTCATTTTTGCTTTCCATATCAAACGTGATGTTCTTGTCTATAGGTTGGTTTTTCCTGAGGACAATGTATCTAACTTAAATAGGTCAAAGCATTGCATCCTTGCTTCTAGGAGCACATTCTTTTATCATGATCACATTTTGAATATATCAATTCTTCCTCAATCTTCTTTTTCCATTGTCTGCGATATCCTTCTCACGCACTGACATCCAGTCCAGTCCGACTCACAGCCATCCGATGAGAGAGGGTGGAACTGCCCCTGTGGGTTTCCAAGACTATAACGTTTTGTGGGAGTAGAAAGCCTCATCTTTCTCCTGCAGAGCAGCTGGTGAATTTGAACTGCTGACTAGTGGTTAGCAGTCCAACTTGTAACCCGCTATGCCACCAGATTTCTAGTGATATTCTTAGTACTATAAAAGGATGTTATTTAAAGGCTAGGGTACACCTGACCCAAGCCATGGTGTTTTCAATAGCTTCGTATGCATGTGAAAGTTGGACACTTAGTAAAGATGATGGAAGAATTTATGCCTTTGAATTATGGCGCTGGCAAAGAATATTGAAAGTACCTGGGACTGGTAAAAGGATAAACTGATTGTCTGGAA